ATCTTATGCATTGTGCTCAGAGGCATCTAATTAGACAGATTAGCTTGTAGACTCAGTAACCTTCTATTTTATTCTTATGAAAAAAAAAGGTTATGTCACTTAGGAACCTCCCAGCCTTAATAGGCATCAGGCGCAGAGCATGTTCTTATATGATGAAGTACTGCCAAATCTCTGTGCGTGCAAAGCACATGAGCGACTGCGTTTTGTAGTGTACATTCCCATGCGTTTGTATTGGGGGGCATTGGTACCCTTCCAAACTCCAAAGCTGGTGCAGGGCAGCAGTGCAATCAAAGGGCGCTTTTCTATGAGAAAAAGGGCAAGGAAAGGTTAGCTCACAAAGGTCCAAGCAGCAGGATGACCATCTGATTGGCATAAGACTGAAACAAAGAAAATGGAAGAGAAAAATTTATATATATATACATTTCTTCAGGTTTTCTTTTCTTGAAAATGAATTTTGATTCTTGTTGGCATGCTGCTAGTCTACATTCCAAAAAAACACATGCATACACAACACAGGAACATACACACACACACACACACACACACACACACACACACACACACATTTAAATAAAGAAAAGATAAGGCAGAGATGTGATGCTAACAAACCCTCAAACTGACAAAATCATTGTGGGTTGCCATGGAAAGGGATCTTTTAAACGGCAAGGGTCATTATTCCTTGCCTCTAAAAATCCACCAGGTGTATCAGCCTAAGATCTAATTACTCTAACAAACATCCTCTGAGCAGCATCAGGGATGATTTCTTGACACTTTTCCTTCCTTGAAGAGTTGGCTGGCTCCCAAGAGCCATCCAGATGTGTGTTTAAACCAGCCGCAGAGTGGAGTTCCCTAGACAGACACGGCTTCTCCCAGCATGCAGCAGTCAGGAAAGCTTTCAGGTCAGAAAGTGCAAACTAAAATACCTGCCTGCCCCACCTGACTGAGGTCACAGGTAGACAGAATGGTCAGGAGCTGGAGAGAGCTCCTGCCTGTCTCAGAAGAGCAGTGGTAGTCAGTTCCAGCCCCATGCTGCCTGGAGAAAATACAAGTTCTGTACTGTTAGATTCCTCTGAGAACAGTCAGGGATCCAAATGGGTGTGGGAAGTCTCCTGATTTTTAAAGATTGGCAGCAGCTCAAAAAAAAAACTTTTAAGTCTTGTGCTGGGCCAAACAAAACTTGGCCAAAGTCCGATTTGACCTGGAAAAGAACAGTGTAGCCCCAGCCTTAGGTAATTCCCTGCCCTTGAAAATCTATATTCAAACCACACCCACACAGTCTGCTTCCACTGCATAATTAAGGAAGAAACCTTCACACTGTCTTGCCTTTATCTTCTTTCACCTGCCTGAGCTGCTCTTTCCTCCCATCCTTGCCTGTCAAAATCCAATATCAAGGGCCAAGTCAAATGTCAATTTATTTGTGAAATCTGCTAGAATAACTGCAGTCAAAATTGATCACTCCAGTAACATTTGGTTTTTGTCTCTATTCTTGCACTCGGCAGAGTCAGCCTCCTAGGAAGAAAAGCAGCATTTCTGTGGGTCCCAGTTGTGAGACCTAGAGAACAGGTCAGATAGCAAATGCATCCTGTCTTCCTGTCCTTACCTAGCACAGAGTAAAGTGGTTTGAGTTTACATTGGACAATTCCTAAATGGGATGTAGTACATAAACTTCATTAGCCAAAAAAACTCAAGAACCCTCTGGGATAATTAATTTAACCTTGGTTTTTCATTAAACATACCAGGTGATCAGATAATGATATCCAGATATTCCAAATATGAGTCTACATAATGATGATTAAATCAACAAGTGTTTATGACAATCTCTTTTTAGGTCCTAAAGATCTAACAATCAGTTAAAAAAAAAACTAGACAGTTAATGATACTATATGTAGACTTCCTAACACAGTGGTTTTTTTTTAATGTTTTATTCTATGTACCCATGACACATTCTGACACAGAGTAGTTCACTAAACATTTGCAAAGCTTAGTAGTAATCATCACAACAGCTCTACAATAAGCACCTGAGCGTGCAAAGAACAGCATACTCTATGGCAGTTACTCAGTGCAATGCCCTCAAAGAGCTATGATCAAGTTAGAAAGCAAAATGTGTTTATGTGAAAAACAAAATTGTTGCACCATCAATCCACAGTAAACAACAGAAAGTATCACTGTGTTCTGGCCAATTGTCATGCCCTTTCCTCTGTGCTAGGGATTCAAACAGAATAAGACACAGTGCCCACCCTCATAGAAACGGTATCATCTATGCAGATTTGAAGTAGAAAGATCACTGTGGGCTAAGAAGTCAGGACACAGAAATATAGTAAGTTCCAAAGGGAAACAAATACCCTCCTGCGCTAACATGAGGATGATTTTCTTGGAAATGAAGAAAAAAAACAGATGAAATTAAATACATTGAAATTTTGCTAAAGGGAAAATATACTGAAAGGACACTCCTCCTAGACTACAGTGCCCTTTTAGGGATCGAAGAATCTAAAATCCCTAGATCTCCACCTTGGAATTCCACCCAGGTAGAACTTCATGGATGCTTCATAGTTAGAAAGCCTGAGGAGACAGAGGGCCCTCACTGGTGCCTGGATTATGCTCTTGTCATTCATCACTGTGAGGGGCACAGATGCTGAAAGGGAAGAACGATGCTGAATTTTCACATCATCGCTGCAGACCTGCCCTGCTTGTCTCCCAAACATCCTCCCATATAGAAAGTCCCAGTGCTCTTCCAGATCACTTCAGTCTACTCACAAACTTGCCCTTGCAGGCTAAGGCTTTCCTGCTAGGGTAAAGAGGAGGTAACAGCCAAGTGCATTCTTCACTCTTTTGAGGACCCAACTTGAATTTGGTCAACTGATCGGGAAAGCAGTATCAAAAAGAAGAGGAGGTGGATGAGGCTGGTGGAGAAGGAGGAGAAGAAGGAGGAGGGCAGGAGAAGAAGAGTCCTGACTTTAGGGTAAGCCTTTGCTTTCTAAAATGAAAAACTGAATCCTGTGGTGATCCCTTCCCCACCAAGCAGAACAATGCACCATGGCAGCTGTATATCTGTGATAACTGCCCTACAAAGTAGAAAATTTCTGGACGAGGAAAATTTTTAAAAAGAAAGAAAAAGGGAAGAAATGATGGAGGAGAATAAAGATTCCAAGCATTTGAGGTGGATCTGAAGATTAAGATCAAGAGATGCTGGAGGAAAGCTAGGAAAATTGAGGGAAAAGAGGGGTGGGGAATTAAATAAATCAAATCCCTGTCTCCAAGTCTATACTCTGCCAACAATTTATTATTTTTATTAGTCAAGACAATCAGCAAATGGAAGAAAAATAATGGGCACAAAAGCTGGAGGTGTCAACCTGAACAGATATTAAACTAAAACAAAGAATGCAAATGCTTAGCTGCAATTATATGAAGATGTATAAGCATCCGGGGCTCAGTGATACCAAGCAAAGCTCTAGCACTTCATGGCACCTTATCTGTAGTTTAGTCTCCTTGATATCTATTTTACACTCTGCTAGCAAAATTTTTGTCATTTCTGATGTGTTTTGCCAAGTCTTTTATTTGGGATGCTTCCTGATTTAAATATTTTTAGCTGCAGTGGTTTTTTTTTTAATCATGAGGGTATTGTTTCAAAAGCAATTATTTTATGTGCATCCAACAGCAAAACTGAAGACCAGGCCCAGTTCCTCTGAGATCATCCTACAAGTGAGGGGCCCTGCAGAAGAGCAAAAGGCTGATCTTGAGGGTGGTCACACAAAAGGATCTCAAATTTCTGCTATAAAAACACAGTTAATGATAACCTTGGCAGAAGTCCCCCAGTGTAGCTGATTAGACATGGCAAAGCACAGCTTCATCCTGTGTTCATCAGGAGATAAGCCCCATTCAACAGCTCCCACCCTGAAATCCAGCCTCTTTGCAATCAGCTGGCTTTCTTAGTGGCCTATAATTTGACAAGAGGAACATGAATGGATGGCTTTCTGGAAGGAATTATGTCTTCCCATGTCACTTTTTTGCTGAGGAACCAGTGCCACCGCTGGTTTTCATTTCATCTGAACCAGCACCTGGAAGGAAAAAACTGAAATTTCAAGAACAAGCTAATATACAGCCATACCCAAAGGAATACCTTCCTCCAAAATTCATTCTCCAAGAACAGAGCTAAGCCATCCCCTTACAGAGGTGGCTGCTGGTGACTTTCTGATTACCCTCAAGGCCCTGTTTGTCTCCTAAACATCATAGTGAAACACAGGATCAATTCTTTATGGCAATGCACGTGTAAATACAACTATCAGGGACCAGAGAAAGAGCCCCTCAATCTGGACTTCAGCAACACCTTGGTTTTTCAAGATTTTTCTTAATACCCGCTTCTTTTACTCCATTCCTCATATTTTTAAGCTGATCCAATAAAGGCATTGTTCAGAGTGGAAATGTCTAAGTATAGCCACGCAGTCATTTCCACAGCAAAACCATTATGATGTCAAAGAACACTGAGAAATTCTTTTTCTGGTCATTGTTAGGTGTCTAGTCATTTCAGGCCATTACCCCATGTGTCCATCAGAGGGAATCTATGCTCCCGGTTACAAAAAGGCACATGAACTTTCGCTCTGAAGTAGAACATTCCACAGCCTGTCTATGACAGTGCAGACATTGTGGCTCAAGGAGGAGCTTCAAGTCCAGCTTTTCTCCTTTGTAGAAAGTCCAGACCACAGTTATGAGTGCAAGGAAAGAGAAAGTGCTCCCTGAAAGACACAGTCAGGAGTAGTTGTCTGTAACAATGGAGGGAAGTGCCTGAGGGTCACTTGATGGTTGCCACAAAGACAGTCTAAGACATTACAGAAGGGGGAGAGAGCAGGAAAGGCTGAGGTCCAACCAGAACATCTCCATCCTGTCTTCCTGATGACTTAACTACACACTTCGACGTTGGTTTACTGATCTGGCCTGAGGATCAATCCGTGGGGTGTACCTAGAGGTGGAATGGGGATTAAATAAAGACATAGGGGAGACAGAGATGGGAGCAAGTCGAGAGAATCCGATCTGTTTATTCCGGAAGTGATTACATCTTTTATAGGCCAAGGGTGGGAGGTGGGACAGGAAGAGGCTATGGGGATGAATACAACAGGGTCACAGTCACGTCCAGGTATGTGACGTAAGCAGGAGAGGATTATGGTTAATGTAGGCAAACGCAGTGCCCATAGGAGAGAGAGAGGCAGGGAGACAGCAATGGGGCTGCTGCTCGGCTCCCTACAGTTTACTCTCTCCCTATGTCACTCTTCTGCTCAGAAGCTCCCCCACGGTTTCCACTGCTGTCAGAATTAAGCTTGAATGCCTCAGCCCAGTTCTCAAGACCTGCCAAGACCTGGTACCAGAAGCCTCCCAAAATAAAAGTGCTCACATTTCAGTATTCACATGCTGAGCCACATCCTTCTATCTGCCTCTCTGGTATCAGGGACGTGGCCAAGATCCCCAATCTCCCAAATAAGTGTATGGCAAAGGCTTAAATAAATGAGAAAAGTGATATGATTTTAGGGTGCCAGGAGAATCAAAACCCTCTGCAGAGTTCAAGACTCTGGGGGCTAAGACAAGGAATGTCTCTGGGTGGCCTGTATTTACTTACTTTCCAAACAAGGAAGAGGTTACAGTGGAAAGTACAGGAAACTGAACAGACCTTAGGAGTGGTTCAAGGGCTTTTCCAAGTAACAGATTATGTTTAATTTAGGAGAACTGAGAAGATCTCCATGTTGCATTTCATTACAGGAGTGAAATGCCTGCCTCTACAGTCTTTATTTACTTAATTGGGGTTGGAGTCAGGTGTTCTCAGTTGTGACTTTATCTTATCCTTTTGAAGTGTCTCTTTGTTCTCAGGTTGGCCATGCTCCAGCCATGCCACAGCCTACATGTGTTCAATATCCAGCTTCAACAGCTCCCACCACTCTGGATCCACACTCTTTGCTCTACTCTCCAGTCCTGAGTGCTTAACTCACAGCTGCACCGATTTCCCAAGGGTGATTGCTTCCTTGTTGGATTTGGCCAATAGGAGACAGAGGTGGAGCCAGACTCGTTCAGTGGAGGGACGATCCTCTTCCCTCTGAGCTTCTTCAGGCTAAGTGTACCCCACCTAAGAGGCACTGCTCTCGGAGAGATGGCTTTCTCTATGTGGTGCTTATTGGCTCAACTGAAGGTCCCTTCTCAACTCTAGGGATCCGTCTGAGGATAATTTCCTCTCCTCTTCCCTCAGCACCTCTGATCCAGGTTACTGCCCTGTGACTTGTAAATAAATCCTCCTCTTCTTATCCATTTAGAGTAATCCATCTTTTTCCTATTGGCACCATGCCTGAAACTTTCCTTTTTACTTCATTATAGATAAGAAAACCAAACTTCAGAGAGGTTCATTTGCTAATTTCCTCAGGATTCAAAACTGAGAAGTAACAGAACCGGGATCTGAACCCAACAGTCTCACGGCGGAACATTCTCTTGTAGCCACTGGGCTTGCCCTACCTCACTAGCATTCTAGGCTAGAATTATGTTTCACCGCTCAGCCACCATGAAAACCTTACCCATCCCATGCACTCATGGTCAAGCTGCCACACCTCAGGACATTTTCCTGACCCTTCCAGCCTCATTTTCAGTTTAGCTGCCATGGGGCACAGGCTCTGTGGCACCGGTGCCAAATGCTGTTCCATTCCGATCCTTTAAGTGTCATGTGCATGTCCTTGTTTCTCCAGTGGATGGAAAACCTCCAGGTGGGTGATGATTGTGACCTCAATATAATTCCTATTCTCTTTGGTCCTCAGGAAATATGCAGCCCTGTATTAGTCAGCTAAAAAATGTTTGAAAGGGAATATCCACAGCAATGCTGTCTGAAGAAAGAGTCATTGTCCCGTAATCTCAGTCATTCTTAAATTTATTTTAAATGAGCAATAGAAGAGAAAGCTGACAAACTCTAAACAAGTAACTGTCACCTGGAAACAGTGATAACATTTCCTTTAACAATAAAGCTTGCCAAAACTTCCTGTAAAAATCTTCTAGTGTTAGTTGTTGTTAAGTGCTAGTAGAGCTCAGTGGCTCTGAGAGAATTTTTTAGATCTAGATTGCTTGAGTTAAAATCTGAATTCTGCTACTTGTCAGCTGTAAGTCTTAAGAGGCTGCATTTTAACATCTAAGGGATTCAGTTGTCCTGTCTGTGAAATGAAGACAGTAATAGTACTTGCCCACTTCATGTTGTGTGAATGAAATTAATTAATATACATAAGCAGTCATAACAGTTAGATAGAAGTGAGATGATAGACAGGTGATAGATAGATAGTGACAATAAGTTTTAGTTAAGCAATAGGCACATAATGATCATCCCAGGACTTTAACTTAGAAGTTTCCAAGAAAACACACGTACTGCTCTCTGATGCTTGCTTCTTCACATTCTACCTTAAAGTGTCAGAAAGCTCACCCAGGTGTATCAGTGCACATGTATAAATCCAGCACTTTGGCAGGCGGAGGCAAGAGGATCACAAGTTCAACCCAGCCTGGGCAATTTAGTAATAGTGAGAGCCCCTATCTCAAAATAAAAAAATTTTAAAAGATGGGGATGTAGCTCAGTGTGAAGGTCTTGAGTTTGATTCCTAGTAATAAAAAAACAATTTTTAAAAACCAGAGATGTAAACTCCACAGATTTAATCTCATCATGGTATCCGGGTGCAGTATTTTCACGTGCAGTTGGAGAAAGAACTGGGGAGGATCTTAGAGGACTCTATTCCTAGAGTATTCCCATGTTACAGATGAGGAAATTGAGGCATCAGAGGTACAGGAGAGAGTGACCCATAAATGAATCTTTACTCAGTGCCCGCACTGTGCCCAGGAGTGTACTCAAGGAGGGGGTGGAAGTCAATGGTAGACCACCTGCCTAATCACACACAGTGGATCACTGTGGCAACCAGCTGTACCCCCTCCAGGTGGCTGCCACAACACAACAGCACTCAAAGACCATGAAGTGGCTCCGCCTTTGATGAAGTGGCTCCGCCTTTGAAGAAGTGGCTGGAAATTCTGAGACAGGCAAAGAAGTAAGTGTCCATCAAAGAATCACAACAGCACTGGGGACGCAGCAAACTCATTCCTGAGTCCATCCGCCCCTCTTTCGCTCTTGGGCTGCAGCCTGCCCTTCACCACTTGCATGCTGAAATGTCAGTGGAATCGGAAGAGCACCAGGACAAGACAGTAAATATAGAGCTTTCATTCCTTGATCAGCTTCTTTCTTCTTCATAATCTTTCCTCCTTATTACCTTTATCAAGCATGGCATGCACAGAGGACCCTACAAAGAAAGGAAAGAAACAGATTGAGTGTCAGTTTTGCAGCCGCTCACCCTCCCTTGAGAACTGAGCTTATACACATAGTTTATTACCTTCTTGTGCTCTTGAACACTGCTTAAAGCCATATAATATCTTTTGGTGGGTTAAATGAGTAGCAGAACTCTCTAGTCTGCCAATCAAGTCCATTTCCCCCTTGAATAAAGGAAGTTAGTATTTTATTCCCTCTGACAGCTGAGGGAAGTAAATTCCTTGCTTTTTGCCAGGGATTTTATAGTGGGAGGAATGAGGGAAGAGTGTGCCCTCTAAGTTCACTGTCACCTGGTCCTATGGGGCGCTGACATCACATGCACTCTCCACATCGCACCAGCTAGTCTGTGGATATGAGGATAAAAAATCACAGCAATTCAAAAGAGGTAGCCAGGACTCAACAATGGCAAGATAAACAGAGTGAGACTTCATTGGAGTCATCAAGAAGAATCCAGATTGCAAGGGGTTGAAGTGAGGACAGAAAAAGAGAAAACTAGAGACACAGAAAAAGTTTAGTTGTCTATTTTCATTGCCGTAGCAAAATGGTATGACAAAAGGCAAGATAACTTCATAAAGAAAAGAGATTTAACTCGCAAGTTTTTCGATTCAATGACATGGCACTAGCATCCCATTGAACTGGTGAGGACAGCATGGCAAATGGCAGAAGCAATTTGAGAACAGAACCGTCCCATCACCAAAGAGGAAGTCAGTGGGGCCCAAGGCTCCCATCCCCCTGAGACCTCCCAGGGATTTCAGGTCCTCCCTGTGGGCCTCACCTCTTAAAGTCCCAGCACCTCTCCCCCTGCCACACGGGGGACCAACCCTCCAAAGTATAAGTCTCTGAGGGACAAATTACATTCAAACCACAGCCCAAGAACAAAAAGCATCTACCTCCTTGTTGGTGGGAAAAAAAAAGGCACTGTACTGAAAAAATGTGACTCATTGTCAATTTAATTTATATCAAGAAAGACCTATTAAACCAAATCTATTTGACTAGATTTTGGGGCAAAGGCATAAAGATGAGCAATTGGTCCACAGTCATACCTGGCATTTCTTCCTTGGGTCCCTCAGGCGTCATGCTGCTCCTCCCTAATTGTCTTTTCAGCTGCTCATGGGACTCCTCGTGCTCCCTAACCACACTTCTCTTTTTCCATAGTATCTATCTTCTCTATATTTACATTATGCTGCAAACTTTACATTTCCTTACCTCTTGATGGCTGTTACTTATCATCAGTCTATACACTCACTCCTAACTCCGGAACAGAGATCTCTGTAAGTTTAGTCCCCTGAAGCATTTCAAGGTACCCAGAACAATGTTTATGTACCATAAACACTTAGGAAATAGCCACAAGGTGAATGAGTCTCTCTCTGAACCAGAAGACATCCTTTACTCTCCCCTAAAGAATCCGCTGGAATTATTGAGAATTTGTAAGGGAAAAGACCATCTCTCTGCTGAAATGTTCTCCATGGTGAAAGCAGTAAGCCATGCAAGCCCTGGGAAGTGTGTTGGTGTTGTGTGGATATCTGTTTGCCGCTCATTGATCACACAGTGTGACTGAATTTCCACAAAACTCTCTCCCCATGGTTTTCTTTCACAGGTCACTCCTCAATCAATGTGCAATTGCGTGATCCATCAGCTTAATTCTGGGGTTTCATCATTGAAACAGATGCAGTATCTTTTCTTTTTTGTGTGTAAGTACACTACAATGCATGGGAATTACCCAAGGATACACAATATATAAATTTGATTAATTCTGTTGCAATATATGAGTGTGTATTCAAAGGTATGCTACAGCCTTCAGTGCATCACACAGCTTAATGAAGAGCAGATTGCCATTCTGGGCCCCTGTGCTATAAATATGTGCCTTTCCCCCGGGTGCCCCAACTGAGTTCTAAATAAGAAATAGATTGCACAGCACCCAAACACACTCACTGATTGGTGCAAATTCCAAATAAATTGCTCCTCTCCAACATTTTCCCCACAAGCAGCTCTTTGTTCTGACACACCCTACCCTGATGACAAGTTCAGGAACACAAAATCAGAATTGGGCAGGTAGCCAGATGTTCGTGGGTGTTTTGTTTTGTTTCGTTTTGTTTCATTGTTTGTGTTTTTGGTTCCTTTGGTTTTGATAAATAATCAGCGTACCCACATTTGTAAGATCTTACTCAGGATGACGAAAATGGCCAATGGCGACTGATATGGCCACTTCCTGTGCTTCAGCATAATTCCCAAGCAACTCTCCAGAACTGACGCCCTGGCTTCTTCTCTTGTCCTGTTATTCTATTCTCTAGGGCACCACCTTTGCCTTAATATGGGATTGCTCCTTTCCCTTAATACAGATTGAGGGTATGGCTTAGCTGTTCAGCCCTTGCCTAGCATCTGCAAGGCCCTAGGTTCAACCCTTGGTACCAAATAAAAAGGGCCAAATGTACCTGCACCCTGGCCCAGCAGCAGTAACATTATTCCCACTGGCTTGAACTAAATTTATTGGAAGTATAAAGCTCTTCCAGTAGCATACACCAACACCAACTAAAATCTCTGTTTTCATTATTTAACTTCTGCCGGCTCTTTTTTCATCTATGCCTCAGTTAGCTCTTGCCATAAAATAAAGCACTCTAAATGTGGTGACTTAAAGCAATAACCGTTTAGGTCAGGACCCTGCAGAATAACAGCTCAGGTTGGTTCAACAAGGCGATCCTGGTGCAGGCTTAGCTGATCTCAGCCAGGCCCACTTATGAGTCAAGTCAGTTTCTGGGTGATAGTTGGCTGCCAGCTGGGACAGGACAGACATCTGAGGCTTATTGTACTACAGAATGGTCATGGCTCAGTCACACAAGGACCAAAGCTTTAAGAACAGCAGTGCTTCACTGTGCAAGCATTTCTTAAGACAGGGTGTCTTCTGTCTGTAGTGCCCATTGGCCAAAGCAAGTCACCGGTCCAGCTCCAGACCTAAGAAAGACTCACTTTCTTAAAAGCAGAAGCTTCAACATCTCATTTCAAGAGAATATAGAGAGGAAAAATTTAGACCATTTCATGCAAGTTTCTATCAGGAAGCAATTGTGAGGTGTGTTAATGTAGAGAGAAGACTATGGGTGTTTAGTAAGCACCAAAACATCATCTAATCACATCTGACCTCAAAAGACTAATGATTTAAGGCATCTCTTGCATCCATTTACTTATCCAGAACATTTATGGAGCACCTACCTGTCTGGCTTTATTCTAAGCACTGATGATAAAATAGAAACAGATACTGTCTCTGCTCTTAAGCTTGTAATCTAGTGGGGTTCTGGGGGGCAACAAATAAAGAAATGTGTACTAAACCTGACTGATAAGTACTCTGAAGAAAACCAAAATACTCGTGTGTAAGCGATGGGAGTAGGGTGTTATTTGAGGTAGGATGGGGGGGGTGCTTGCTGATCTTTCATTGGAGGAGTACTTGCAGAAAGGGAGGGAACAATTGACATGATGGTGGTGAAAGAGGAGCAGTCCAGGCAGAGAAAGAGTGGATGTGGGGGCTTGGGCACTTTCATATCAGCCTGGTTGCTCTGAGTTTCAGCAAAAAGGCAAATATCACTGACAGGCAGAGAGGGAAGGAAGGAGAGAGATGGGAGAGAAGTACTGTGGGTGTTAACCTTGATTATGAAGAGTCCCACAAAGATTCATCGTTGGCTTGATCTCCCATGTGGCAATGTTCAGAAATGGAGCCTAGAGAGGTGATAGGGTCATGAGAGCTTTAACTTTTTCGGTGGGTTAGTTCATCAGTGAGATCCTTACCTGCTGGCATTTTGGTGAGATGATAGCAACAGACCTAGTTGAGAGAAGCCCAGTGGTACTAACCCAGGGATGATGTCTGCTCTTTGGCCTCTTCCTCTCTGGCTCTTTCATGTTCTCAGGTCCTTCTCTAGGCTTCCTGGCTGCTATGATGTAAGCATATTTTCTCTCCCATGCTGTTCTCTGCCTTGCAACAAGTCTGAAAGCAACCAAGCTAGCTAAAATGATCTGCAACCATGAGCCAAAATAGACCTTTCCTCCATTAAGTTGTTTTACTCAAGTATTTGATCACAATGAAAAGGGCTAACAAAATGGAGTCATTTTATTGAGAATCATTAACCAATAGTAAGAAATTTAGACTTTATTCCAAGTGAGAGAGACATTCCTTGGGTGGTTTAGTACAAAGATGAGGCAGGACATGGTATTAGTCTACAAAGCATCATTCTGCTTGCTTTGGACACAACGCATGCCGGGAGACAAGGAAATAAGCAGAAAACTAGGTGGGAGCCTCTCGTCATCCTGTTCATGCTGGTTTTGCATCTTCGTGCATGTCAGCTTATGAATGTACTGGCCAGTCCTGGTTTTGATCCTCTGAGTTGGATTATTGCTGAATTTGTCAAGAGGATGGACAGAAGACAGCAATACTTTATGGCTTTGCTCATTAAAGGAAATGTGAACTTCCTAATGCCCACCTGTCGCACTCAGACATGCAAGGGGAAGAGAAAGAAGAAACAGCTCTGTCTAGAAGTGCTGCTACCTATTCACTTTAGGTCCATCTGCGTCAGCTTCCTTCACTGAATGGCCTCTCTAAAGTGTGCTGATTGAGGAATGGGTGCTGGAGCGAGAAAAGGGTAGGCTTGCAAAGCAGTGTCTCCCCACACAATCAGAAGCCAGACAGATGGATCAGTAATGCTGACATTTATCTCAGGGTAGAGCCAGACCTGATCTTTTGAGGAACAAAAATCAAATGAAACCTCATGAGAAACAGGAACTTCCATCTCTTGGCAACTGTGTCCACGCAAACGGCTTTTGCTACACCAGCCCAATTGGGATCCTTTCCTTTGCCTGCTGTCTAAATTTTTAACAAAGGGGACTTTGAAGCCAGTTGAAATTTCCAAATGGGGGAGAAATGTTACTAATAAAAGGAACAATGAAGTCTCCAACTCACCTCTCCCATTGTCTACTCCACATGTGACCTGCACC